GAACTCAGGCGATGTGATGAGCATGACTGCCAATGCGGGATCCAGAGGGAACTGCGAGGCGAGTCCTCCGAGTGTGGTCAGCTCACCCTCGTCATCGAGACATGCCAGGTAGTTGAGTTCTTCCAACGCACGCATCAGGGTCTCAGGCGCAGGCGGGTCCATCAGATCGAAGTGTACCAGATCGTCGACTCCAAGCTTCTTCAACTCGAGCACGGTGCTGGCCAGATTTGATCTGAGAATCTCGGGGTAGGTCTGCTCGATGAGCTCCTTCTTAAAGGCTTGCTCGGTGTACAGGCGGAAGCATTTACCGGGACGCGTACGTCCGGCACGACCAGCTCGCTGTTGTGCTGAGGCCTTGGAGATGGGCGAAACGAGGAGGGATTCGACACGGATACGGGGGTTGTAGACCTTTTGCTTGCTGAAACCGGGGTCTACGACGTAGACGATACCGTCAATGGTGAGAGATGTCTCAGCAATGTTGGTGGAAACGATGCACTTGCGTCCGGGGCGGCCGCCGTGTGTTGCGGGCGGAGGCGCAGGGTTGAAGATCTTCTGCTGCTGTGCGGGCGGCAGGGTTCCGTACAGCGGGTATACGACGAGTGGTCCAGCACCACCTTCACGAGAAAGGTCTTGGGCCTCGAGATTTATCTTCCTGCACGCATCCTCAATCTCCTCCTCACCAGTCAAGAACAGCAGAATATCGCCTTCGGGCTCGGTGGCGTGGATCTGGAGGACGGTGCGCAGGGCGGCTTCGACGTAGTCTCGCTCGGGCGCGGGCGTGTAGAAGACCTCGACGGGGTGGGTTCGTCCAGGTACGGCAAGCAGGGGCGCGTTGTGGAAGTACTTCTGGAACTTGGTAGCATCGAGCGTAGCACTCATGATGATGAGCTTGAGGTCCGGCCGCCTCAAGACGACCTCCTTCAGCAGACCCATAAGGATATCGGTGGCCAGGGTTCTCTCGTGAGCCTCGTCGAGGATGATGGTGCTGTAGCGCGTGAGGTTGTGGTCGTTCATGGCCTCGCGCAGCAACATTCCGTCGGTCATGTACTTGAGGATGGTGTTGGGCCCCGTCTTGTCCTCGAAACGGATGCTGTATCCGACCTCCTCGCCCAGCTCGACGTCCATCTCCTCGGCCACACGCTGGGCGACGGACATGGCGGCGACACGGCGCGGCTGGGTGCAGGCGACCATCTTGGCATTCTGCTGGGGCAGGTCGTCAAAAAGGACGAACTGCGGGATCTGCGTCGTCTTTCCAGAACCCGTCTCACCGACGAAGACGAGGATCTGCGACTCCTGGTACAGCTTGAGGAACTCGTCGCGCTGCTGGTGGACGGGCAGGTCTCGCCTCTTCTTGAGGATGCTCATGTACTTGCTCGAGAGCGGGCGGCCGGTGAAGGCGTTGTTGGGGCCGTCTTCGGCGGCGTTGGCCTGCGCAGTCGTCGTCGCATGCTTCTTGAAGCCCTGGAGGCCGGTGCCGCTGCCGCTGTACTCGCTCTTGACGGGCTTGTCGTCGTTCCAGTGCGCCAGGTACGGATTCGCCGCCGCGTCCATCTTGCCCTCGCCGTTGGCCTCCGTCTTGACGCGCTTGACGCGGGCACTGTCGTCGTCGCCGTATTCGCGCTTCGTCATGGCTGTCATTGTGGTGCTGGCGGAGTTTGCGCGTGTGGATGGCGGCTGCACTCGCCGTCCCAGAAAAAGTTATGCGACGGGCCCTTAGCTCCACTTACCGCGACTGCTCGCGCTTGGCGCAATCGACGACAGGCTGCAAGGCACCACAGCAATATCCACACGCCGCCATGTAGTAAATATACCTTCTCCACCCTTGGTGGCTCCTTCTCTCTACTCCACGTTCCTGCCGCTGTCATCGCGCTCCATATCCCTGGTCGCGCGCCGCAGCATTGCATCCGCGACTTTGCTGACCCCGCGGTAGTCCGCAACATTCACCAACTTTTCTTCCACTAACACTTTTTCTCATCTTGGCCTGACTACCCCCGATACTGTTATGGACTACTCGGAAGGCATGGGCGAACATGCGCCCGTATTTTATATTGGCCAACATGAGTCGAAGCGCACCCTGGACGTCTCGCCCGAGTTGGTGCAGCATGCCCAAGATCTCGGAGTAAGTGCCTCCAAGACTAGCAAGAACCCTACTGACACCCTCCAGTATGATATGCTCACTAGCACCATCACCAACGACCACTTTCAGAACCGCGTCTTGAGTCTGCTCAACTCCTACACCCAAGCCCTCGCTGAGTCGCACTCCCAACCGCTGCCCTTGATACCTGCCTTGGACAACTTTGATACACCACTTAGCCCGAATGAGATTATTAGTCAATTGGTAGCATTTACCAGCTCATGGATCGATTTGTCTTCGCCAGACCCGATCATCTCCCATTTGTCGCGCCAAGTCTTCCACCTCGAGGTTGCCTATGCAGCTTTCTGCGGTGTTACCAATCTGGTCATCCCTGGACCAAGACTCGCTCACGGCCAGACCGGCGTATCTCAGTATGCTCGTTCTATCAAGGAGGCGCTTGTCACTGGATCTTACATCCAGCTGCACGTGCAACTACCCATGGATGGAACGCAGTCAGACTCCAGCAAGGACGACATGGGTGACCTAGCGCGATTCGCCAGGCCTGAGTTCGAGGCCAGCAGTGAGTCGAAGAACGTCGAATCTTGGAGCTCGTGGGATGCGTGGAACACCATTCGATCGATTTGCAAGTACCATAATAGGTTAGCAGTCATGCTCGATATGCCGCGTCGCCTGCCATCGCTGGCTGTCCAGTCACGTTGGTTCTCTGAGCCTGTACGACTTCTCAACTTGCACGCTTCCTCTTTCCTAGTCAACGCTCGTCAATCTTACGTCCTGTCCAAAGCACACCAGGTTTTCATCTTCCGTTGCATGCGCCTGCAGCGCGGGCCTTGGCTACTCATCTCGGATGTTGGCCAACTACCAGGTATTGATGACCCGGATATGATAATGTCATACTCCACAGGTCATCTATCCCCTCGCACTGTAGAAGATGCACCGAGCCCAGGATCATCAGGAACAGTCGCACCAACCCCAGCTGAAGCAGCCGAGATCGCAAAGAAGTTGCCTAAAAAGAGCAGTAGCAACAACGACCCAACACCTCACTTGAGCTACATGCGATACTTGCAGCGCAATCAGCCTCCTAAGAGCCAGATCGAACGGTTTGGTGGTGGATTCCAAGACTATCTCCAGAGCCCACTGCAACCCCTGACAGACAACCTCGAATCTATTACATACGAGGTGTTCGAAAAGGATCCAATCAAGTACGCGTGGTACGAGCGCGCCATCGCTCAAGCGCTAAAAGACTGGCATGCCGAGAGCAAATCAACCAGTTCCAGCAACGGTGCCGTCGTTATCGCAGTCGTAGGATCCGGTCGAGGTCCGCTTGTAACGCGCGCGTTAAATGCCAGCGCAAGCTCCGGTGTACCCGTACAAGTCTACGCCATCGAAAAGAACCCTAACGCATACGTTCTGCTTCAACGACACAACATCGAAACCTGGGGCGGACGCGTCACAGTCGTTAAGACCGACATGCGCGCCTGGAAAGGTCCAACCCTCGCCGACGGCACATTCGGCAAAGTCGACATCCTCGTCAGCGAGCTTCTCGGCTCTTTCGCCGACAACGAGCTATCGCCCGAATGTCTCGATGGTGTGCAACACGTCCTAAACCCCACTCACGGCATCTCGATACCCTCCAGCTACACCGCGCACTTGACTCCCATCTCCACGCCAAAGCTCTGGTCCGACCTGTATACTAGAAGTACCAGCGTCGATCCCAACGCTTTCGATATCCCATGGGTCGTCATGCTCACTCAATTCGACTATCTTTCCACCTCCTCCGAAGAAACAGTGGCATCCAAACAGCTCAGCAACGGCACACGGATGCAGCATTTTAACCTCGAGGCCCCCCTCACACCCAAGGTTGAAACAGCCTGGGATTTTACTCATCCCCTTCCTCCCGCCGTTCTAGCACAATCTTCGCTCAGGAAAGGTGGTTCGGCGATAGGTGGCGGTGGTGGCTTCAGCGGCGGCGACGGCGCAAACGAACATAACCTGCGCTACTGCCGTATCGCCTTCCCTATCCAAGAACCGGGTGTATGTCACGGTCTCGGCGCGTACTTCGAGACCGTACTGTACAGTGGATCAGAAGGACCGGTGGAGTTGAGCACGAATCCAGTCACTATGGAGGCGAAGAGCAAGGATATGATTTCTTGGTTCCCGATCTTGTTCCCACTCAAGGTATGTTATTCACTGATCATAGAAAATAAGGATGGTGGCTAATTTGCGTTGCAGACTCCCATGCAGCTTCCTGCCAACTCAGAGGTCGAAGTCAGTTTCTGGAGGCAGACGGATGACCGCAAGGTGTGGTATGAGTGGCTTGTGGAGAGCTATCTGACGGTTGAGGGACGGAGGATACGCTTGGATGTTTCGGATTTGCATTCTAGCAAGTCGAATGGGTGTATGATGTAGTCTGGTACCGTCTGGTGCGTAGCTGTATAGTTGGAATGAGAAGATGAGGCTACTGGTTTCAGTGTTCGCTATACATTGTCTCTACTGCGAGACAAAAGTTGGTGCTTCTCTTTCCCAGAATTGGAATTCGATGTATATGGAAGCGTACTTTATTGCACTATAAAGGAACTTCTTGGACTGTGTTGTAGTCATTATAATAGGTCAACGTGTGATGTAAGAGACAGAAGATGAGCATCCGTATGTTCATTACGTATAGTACTCATAGCCACTAGAAGCATTCCTGTCATAACCTGAAGCTACTTGCTACATCATGCACTGTGTAACGACATACTCAGCTCGATCCAGGAATCTGAGCTCATCCTCTCTGCTGAAAAGCGCACTCCAAGTCCACTATGAAGGCGGCGCATCAGTATTCTGAGTCTTCTCCTTCCTCTGCACCCAGCCGAATCTCGGGGATCCGTTGTTCATATCGAAGATCTAGAATACCACATTAGCATCATCATCCCACGAACAACAACACGAGTCTTCGCAAACTTACCGCGTACATAGCCTTCAACACCGCGTCACCGTAGATATCCATATCCATGGATCCCCTACTCTGAATACTTCCATACACCATCCCATCCCCCGCATCCGCAAACCCCAAATCCTCTTTCTGGAACGTCACCATGGCGTCTCCAATCGCAAGCTTGATCTCAGGAAGATCGGCCGCTGCAGTGGAAGTAGGGAAGACGTAGCCTTGGTTGCTCTGGTCGTATTTGGCGCCTGGGATGGCTTTGTAGACGGCGTCGACGAGGTCGTCGGAGACGAGGCAGAGGGTGGTGCCGGTGTCCATGATGGAGGTGTTGCCAGACCGGTCGACGGTTTGGCCGTTGATGGTGGCGGATGTGGATTGAATTTGCCAGAAGCCTTGGCTGTTATCGACTTCGGCGTAGTTGGGCTCGGACGCGCCGGAGGCGGTCATGACGTCTTGGTCGATGAAACCGAAGGTGTAGAAACTCTGGGGTTATGTTAGAATTGAGTAAGAGTACAGGGCACGAGACACTTACTTCGCCCTTGTCAGCCTCGTTCGTGTCGCGCCAGCTACCCAGGTACGCGGTGAACAGCTGCTCCTTAGCGCTCTTCTGTGCGATGATGTTGTCGACTGGCGTCTTCTGTGGGGTTGGAGAAACAGTGTTGATGGAACTGAAGGCCAGACCAAGGAGTCCGCTGCCATTGCCCTCGGCAAATTGCTGCGAAAGCTCCTTTGCAAGCTCGACAGCTTGGTTCTCAACTTTGAGACCACCCAGGTTTACGACATCAGTACCGACGTCACCGCTCGCGGAAGACGAGTCTCCGTACGAGATCTTCCATGTCTCGCCGTCGAGTTTCTTGAATGTGCTTGACTTTGAGGGGTCGAAAGCGACCTGCTGCTTCGACGCATCTGCTGAACTCAGGATGTTCTTGGGAAGTTCGGTGGACCAGACCTGTATATCTTAGTGATGAGATCAAATCGTCAAAGAACACAATATACCCAGAGATCTGAAGATCCAGTATCGAAATCGAGGTAGATCTTCTGTTCGGGTGTTCCAACGCCGACTTCACAGAGATACAAGGAGTCGTTCTGGATGTCTTCGGCGGGAACTTCACCCTCAGTTGGAGTGCCGTCGCTTGGAGCTGCGGCTTTGCTCTGTGCACCGCCTGGTGCCGATGTTTCGTTGCGCTTCTTGAGAACGTAGCGTGATCGCATGCGGCCGCCGATTCGGCCGAACTTGCCTTGCTGCGACATGACCTTGGCTTGGAAGTACGGACCAGGTTTCGTAGGGTGGAAGCCATCTACGTGTGTCAGTTCAGTAGTGGAAGGTGGAGTAAGATGTTCGAAATTGGTGACGAACACTTGGTCATGGCATAAACGTAGCTCTTGACTCCAGCGGGCTTGTAGGCTGGGCTACGCTGGATCGCGAGGCGTTGTAGAGATGCCATGGCGATATTGTGTTGCTGGATTTGATGGATTTGTGGATGTTGGTGATGAGATTCTTGTTACAACACTGATGCAACAAGACAAAGTCGAGAAAGAATTACTTCCCTCGAAGCAACGACGACGAGGCAGCATAAATACCTTCGTGCCTTCCAACCAACGCATGCATCACGCCCACCTTGAAAGAAGCAAACCTACCTGCCCAACTGCAAACGCTCCAATCACCAGCGCTCGACCAGGAACAGGCGGTCACACCGGCCGGATTGTCGCAGCCGCGATCATGGGCCTACAAGCATGCGACCAAGCTTTCCAAGCTTTTATCAAGCTTTCGTTAAGCTCCGCGTGCTGCATATGGTGCGTCTGAAACAACGCATATGTAGATCACACGCACGATGATGCGCGATGGGAGTACGGCTGTGGCGTTTGCGCTGATAAGGACCCGGACAGCATGACAGGTACAAAGGCGGCTGCGGTTGCGGCCGAGGTGTCGACGTAGTCGTCCATGCGAATGGCATTGGATGAGTGATCTGTGAGTTTGTAAAGTGATCTGATTGCTCCGAGAGTAATGGGAAGCCTGCTTCAAGATGCGAGTCGAGGCCCTATCGGAAGCCCCGCAACATACAGCTCTTTGTCCCCGCGTTGTGGATCGCCCGCGATGCTGGAATGTGACCACGTACTCCTACATGCGCCGTGTGCGCTTTGTTACAGCGTAGGACAAGAGAGAGGTTCCTGGTTTGTGACATGTCTTGACTTTGGCTGGTCATCGTGAAGCTTTGTGCGTACCTTGGCGTGGTGGTGTTTCGGGAGACACGTAATGACGTCATTGGATACGCGTCATCGCTCGCACCTACCTGTTCCGGTGTTAGCAGGCATCTTCTTGTCGCCAGCCACCACGGCAATGCTCCTCCTCGCTGGGGGCTGGTATCTCTTCGATCATATACCTGATGCACGCATTGTTTGTACGGATCGGATCGCGAATCTGGTCATGCCATAATGTGAGTAACGCGACGCTTGATTTTGACGTTATTCTACAAACTTCCTGTGCTTGCAGAAGCACTACTTGGGTATATCCTGTAGCAATTTGAATGAGAGACGAACATCCTGCTCATTGGAGATGATGAGATATGTTCCAATTCATCAAAGTCATCCATACACTCGGCACGCTTTGCCCAAGGGAGTGACATAAGTACTAGAGGAGACAAGAGAAAAGAAAATAGAGTATTGAAAGCCTCAACACCTAACATCACGCGGTCCTGGGCTTGAAGATCAGGTCACATCGATCGTGCCTGCTCCTGTATCCATTCGCCTCAAAAGGCGCCATCGCCTCTGGCGTTGTCTCCGGCGCAAGTTCAACCTTGAACGCCCTGAATGTAGCCGCCAAGATGACTCGCATCTGGTACGTCGCCATGTTGCCTCCTGGACAGCGTCTCGCTCCTACACCAAAAGGAACAAGATGCTTCTTTCGCTCAGCACTGTATTCATCCTCGACGAGCCAGCGTCGCGGGTTGTAGGTATCGAAGTCGGGGAAGAGGTCGGGACGCTGGCGAGACATGCTGAGGGACTGTGTGGTGACGACCGTGCCGGCGGGGAGGTGGTAGCCGAGGACATTGATGCCACCCTCTGGTACGAGGCGGGAACCTGTTAGAGCGACTGGTGGGCGGAAACGCAGACCTTCGTTAACGCATGCACAAAGGAGCTTCAACGAGTCAAGCTCTTCGTAACCCTCGTGGGCGGCAACCTCCTCGTACAGTTCTTCTTGAAGACTTGGGTTCTTTGCTAGCTCGTAGTAGATGAATGCGAGGGCTGATGAGGTCGTCTCAGTAGCAGCGAGTACCTGGCCTGCCATTTCCGCGCCGATTTCCGGGTCCGTCCATGAATCTTCGAGGGGGTACTTTGCGTCTGGGTCAGTGAAGAGCTTGAAGACGTTGGCGGTTGAGTCCTCGGCCATTTCCTTGGCCTGCTTGCACAGCGCTGCGCCTAGGTCAAAGAGCTTGTCACTGGATCGTACGCGGAAGCGCGCATGGGCGAACGGGCTGTACTGGAGCCATGCGAATAGCCATTCTGGGAGACACAGACGCCAAACGACGAGAAAGTTGTACTCGCCGACAACGTGTGGGAATTCGCTGGACTCGAGGTCGACACCTGTACCGCCCATAACGACTTGCGAGTTCTTGAGGGTGCAGATGCGGAGGTGGTAGACAATGTCTTCCGACTTTTGACCCTCTGTCTTTCCGAGATCACGGACCATGGCTTCGATGTTGGTCACGAAGGTATCGTGCCAGAACTTCATGTTCTTTGTCGTAGTAGCAATCATGACGGGGTGACGTCTTTGCCGCGCGATGGGATGTTGAGGGTACGTGACAGTCCAGTCATGGCCGCCGACACGAAGGGCTCGAATAGATTTTGGCGAAGTGTCGAGATCTTTCCTGACGAAGATCTTCTCCACTGACTCGGAGTCGTTGAGAATGACGAGATTCGGTGCGATCCTGACGATGGGTCCGTACTTTGTCATGAGCTTGTCTGCCTCAAAGGACAGTCTGCCATGCCAACGTTGCCAGCGGATCCAGGCTGATGTTGCTGAACTGATCCAAGGTCCGGGTATGGCCCGCAGAGGGTCGATGTGGGCCCGGTAGATCATTTTGGTGATCTGGGTAACAGCCATGAGGACCACAATGGCCCCGACGAGCTTCCAGCGAAGCACGTAGGCATTTGACATTGCGCCTTGAACAAGGCTGGGCTTGTCAGTGACCAGCAGGTCGTGAATAGTTTCGTTCAACATGATGAAGAAGGCAAAGAATGGTCTTCAGACAATGAAGTACAGATGGATAAGCACGGGACGGCATTATATACTTTTCTCTGAGAATCGAACCTGTATCGCCGTTACTCACATTACCTTTTGCCTCGACTGGGAGCCATGTGCGATCGAAGTCAATCCTACCAGCCCGGTACCCGAAGGACCCTGATCCCCGCAGACCCTGGAGCCTCAAGGTTCGGACCTATCTCAAACCTTATACAAAAAAGGGTTTCGGTAGTTGATGTCACAAAGACGCGGAGAGTAACTGTGCACTAGAAGTCTACTGGCTGATGGAAGTATACTACCAGGTGACCGAAATCTTGAGGCAGCCCTGGTAACTTCTGCGTTTTGCGAACTGCGTACGATGACCTGATGGTTCCTCCGCAGCTCGCACAGCCCTATGGTGATGGACAGCAGTTGAGAAAAAGGAATGTTCGCAGCCGAGGCAAGTGGCAATGTCAATCATGTGGAGAGCACACAGAAGGCCCGACGTGTCGCGATGAAGTACCGAAGCACTGTTGTATGTTCGCCTTGGGTACCTAGTTAGGTGTTGATCGATCTCCCAAAGGCTTTTGCTATTGAACAAGCGCCCGTGTTCTGAAGCGTAGCCAACAACGTGAGAGTTAAAGCACCAATAAGGCTACTGGAAAGCTGGGCAGCAGAGCGCCGTTATACCCCAAGAGCGTAGGGTATGCCGTTGATGACCTCAGGTTGATTAATGCCCGATAACGCGGTGGAGAACGAGTTGCGAAGTCAGCGTAGTTAGAATTACTCATGTTCGCAAAGGGCGCATGTCGTGGTGATCGCTGACTCCGACGCGTAGACATCGTACTGACCTCGCCGAACCTCGAGGGTGTGTAGGACCTGGCGAAGTTGGAGGCGCCCATCCACGAGCACTCATTTCACATGAAAGATAGCATTTGTGCCCAATGTGGGCCCATAATTATTCGACCGAAGTGGCGCACAATACGAAGCTCATGCTGCTGCTTCAAGAAGCGAGTGCTTCAGCGTTGACGGTATCGAAGGGCGTCGTTAATGACATCGTGGGGTTATTAAAGTTGTGGTCATGTAAACTATACGGTGCAGGGTTGGTCAATTTCCCAAGAGAGTTCTATTTCTGTTAGAGAAGTCTAAAATTGTGCACATGGGGACTGTTGGTGAAAGCCAATATTGAAGCGACGAACGCACAATCAGGTTTGTTTGCCTTGGGCAACAATTTTGCGTTGCGCTACCACATGACGTCTAGGAGCAAATAGGGACGTTGGAGTAAGACGGTTTCATCAGTACTGTTGTACGTCGTGCAGGCGAACGTTCTGTGCTGTAGGGATCACGCTGCCCGTTCGGCGCGTCCACGGGCGCTTACCAGGGCGTATATCCGCGATGCGCATGAACAGGAGATCGGCAGGAGGCTTCGATGAATTGGAGACAACTGTGTGTGGAATCTGGTGATGAGCTTTGACATGGCGCTCACGGTCGTTGTTGAGCTGACTAGGAAGGTCGGAAGGCTGGGCACGCGTGCGAGAGCGAGAGAACAGGGCACGCTTTACCGTTTCGGGCGTTCCGACACGCGTTCCGCAAGCCTATGATAAGCATAGACCATTTGACGTCACTGACCCCGGTCCTCGAATCTCTCCTTCCCATCTTCGCTACCAGACCTCGCTTCATTTTCCCATCGAACGCATCTTCCCGTCTGCCTTTCGGTCCGTCCCAGATTATTCATCCCGTTTCTTGAGTTGGTCCGAGTCGTTGTCAGCAAGGTGGACCTCATGTCCGCGCAACACCCCATCAGATCGCGGCTTCGGCAAATAGTTCGCAACCACTGGCATCAATGCAGCGATCAACACGCCAAGCCATAGAACGGCAGTCGATACGGCAAATCCCTTCAGGTTGCGTGGTCCCTCAGCGCTGGGCCATAAAAAGCTTCCATATATGAAACTCGTGTGACCAAAAGAGTTGACCAGCGCAATGGCTATCGATCGCTTGCGTGCTGGTTGGGACATGACTTCGCTTGTCCAGTTGAGGATCAGAGGTACCGTTGTATACATCGCACCAGTCTGCAGGCATAGCATGGCATACTTGACTGCGCTATTGCTGACAAGAAGAGCTACTAAAGTAGCAACTCCGGCGAAAGCGAGAAGACCAGCGTTGTGCCATCTTCGGTCTTCGGTCTTGTCAGAAGTCCAGGACCTAACAATCGGTGTACGATTAGTGGATGTCTCTTGCCGTGCCTTTACAAGGGTTTACTTACCAGAACAGCTGAAACACGGCACCACAACTCCAGATGGGTACCGTCATCCATTGGGCACTGGTGCTCGTATATCCCATTCCTCGAAGCATGGTCGGAATGAAATATGAAACGGTCAAGGCCAGGCAGTTCGAGGTGTAGATGACCATAAAGAGATATGTCCGTCCATCTCTGATCACTGCAAGGAATGCTTGGAATGGGGTGAGAGCTGCCTCATCGATGTGCCAGGACTGATCTCGATCGCGAAGGATACGGACGTGAGCAAGAAGGCGTTGCTCCGGAGAAAGCATCTTGGATTCAATTGGCCAATTGGGAAGGATGAAATACACTGGCAAGTGGGACGGGACATATTAGCAGTGTTCGCACCTTCGGCATATGTAGATTACTTACGCCCAAAGCCACAAGCAATGGTAATGATGCTCTCGATTATGAGCAGCCATCGCCAGCCCGGAATACCACGAGCACCGTCCAGGCTGGAAATTATGGCACCTGCCATGATACCACCCAGCGCTGGAGATACGCAGCCGGAGGTGTAGAAGATGCAAAAGCGCTTGCCTGGAGGATTACGTTAGCCACATGTCAGATTCCGAAGAGGCTGGCTAGGTACTCACCAACTTCTTTCTTCGTGTACCAGCAGGTCAGGATGAATAACGCGCCTGGATACAGTCCGGCCTCGATTGCGCCCAGAAAGAAACGTCCAATGAGGAGTCCTGTTGCGCTCTTTGTCTGCGACATTCCGAGGACTACGCATCCCCAGACCCACACAATCGTGGCTAAACCGACATTTATGAGTATTGACTCAGCATCGTTCGGCTGACTGGGTACGCTTACACAAATAGATCGACGGTTTTACCTTCATGAGGATCATGTTCGAAGGAACCTCGAAGATAACGTAGGCCACAAAGAAGAGAGATACGAGCATTGCGTATTCTACACACCGTCAGCTACCTCACCTCGGACACTATTGTGTGGTCTGTATTGGCAAACGTACGATTATCCGACAGGCCAAGTTCCTCACTCATGCCCGCCGCGTTGGCGTTGGCAATGTTGCTCCTGTCGAGATGGGCAAGTATGTACATCCACCAAAGGATTGGTAGCAAGATGAAGTCAATCTTTCGGACCAAGCGTTTTTCTTCCACAGTATCTGGCACATAGCCTTGCAGTGCTGCTATGATTGCCGCATCTTCGGCCTCTCCATATTGTATTTTCGGGGTTTTCTCATCGCTTGGATCAGAGGCAACTCGTTGTGCCAGATCCGGTGCTTCACCATCTTTGGAAGTCATGATCTTCGATCGTTGAGGCTTGCAGGGGGGACAGGGCGCCCGAGGAACAACACGAGAATAGTGAAGCCAGGCAACTGACAGAAACAGCAGATTCACAGCATATACATTAGTGCTACGTCGAACGGCTGCAACCTTCCCGCCATCTATCTGTATGGCACCCGTTGACAGCTCGATGTTATCGCAATCCTACTCACGACGTAATCAGACCGCCACTGTTGCGAAACCATGACCCCGCTTCCTATCTATCTCTATCAGCTTAGTAAAACCCAACAGGATTGTGAGTGGGCGTGTCCCAAAGCAATGCTGGCATCATGATCATGCGGAGTTCGCCAAGACAAGGCCCCTACCTGGCCAAGATGCAAGTGGAGCAGCGCTTATCATACCCGACAATTCGCTCGACTCTGTCCCCGAAATTACCATGACATACTGTACTTCTTCATAGCCATCCGAAGAATGCGAACTTGACCAACAAGCACGGTCTGCTGTCACCCTCTACCACCACCTACTCCAAGGCCTCATAAACCGCGACGGAAAGCCGATTCCTCGAGACACAATACTTCCGTCATGTCTAAATCCAGCAAACATGTAGTGTTCGATATTGTCGGCACCTGCGTCTCCTATGATGCCATATTCGATGCTCTGGAGCACTGCTTAGGCGACAAGATGCGTGCTGAAGGCATCAAGCCACGACTATTTGGCTACCTCTGGATTGAAGTCACCGAAAGAGAGTACACTTATCTCAGCATGAATGGTCGCTACATGGCTTTCCGCGACGTCTTCAGCAGCCTCTTTTACCGAATGCTATACATGTCCGGCATCGAGGAACCCCAAACTTTCGCTAGCGACAAGGATTTGCAATACATCCTAGAGCAGTACAAGAAGCTTGAAGCGCGGCCTGGTGTCGCGGAGTGTTTCCAATTGCTCCGGGATGCTGGCTTCACGGTGTGGGCGTTGACGGCTGGGGATGTTGAGCGTGTTGGAGGCTACTTCACGCACAATGGTATCCATATGCCCAAGGAGAACTTCATCTCATGCGACACGGCCAAGATTGGTAAACCGGATCCAAAAGTGTACCAAATGATGATGGAGAAGCTGGGCAGTGATGAGAAATGGTTTGCAGCTGCGCATAACTGGGATGTTGCGGCTGCTAAGATTCACGGGTGAGTTGGCACTACCCGTCTACCTGCGCAGCTCCATTAACCATTCAACAGATTCAAGGCTGCGTATTGCACGATATGGGAGAAGATTCGTTGCGACAATCTCTTCGGCGAGATGGATGTGACTGCGGACTCCTTTCCCGAGATGGCTCGTGGTATCATAGCTGCATCTGATGCCGACTCAAATTAAGCCGTTTGCGTTTCGAAACATAGCGATGTCAGAACATCTCGCGCGATCTGGTCAGCTGCAGAAACTCAGAGTGCTGAACAGTCATGCCAAGTCAACGTCGTGCAGAAGGATTGCTCAGAACGCCGCTAAACATCTTCGTGTACTTGATGGGATGATATATGCATGACCTCCTCAGTCAAGCGAGTAATCACCCTTGCCGATCTACGTTTCGGCAAATGTTCTCCGTCCTCGTTATCGAGTGCATCCCCCACTCTATCATCGATAAGAATGAATCATGGAGCAGAACTCGCTAAGCACCCTGGAGAACTCCAGCCGTTGAGATGTTCAGGAAGTGGGGGAACCACCAGCGCGCTTTGCGCCGCGGCCATCTCCGTGCCTCATCATGTGCATACCCGTGTACCGTTGTCGGAAACGCTCTGTTATCTTCTTGTAACCATGTCAGACCGTCGTTTGGGCAAAATATTTGTGGCCTTGGTTTTGATAGGCAGTCTTCTGCGATCCGGTACAAGTACGTTTATGCAGCACACATCGATATCGCAACATGAAGAGCGACCGCACACCGGTAGCAGATCCCGTACACTCATTCTGGACTTCTGTATCCAATCCTCTTGATGACCTACTGAGTACGGATGACCTTTCCACTGAGGCAGACATTGTAATCATCGGTGCGGGATTTGCCGGGGTTGTACGTCTACATCACGAGTTGATTTCCGAACGCATATGTGCTGATTGCAATCTACTAGGCGACAGCTTATAATATTCTCACATCATCCTCGTCGTCCCCGAAGCAATCTGTCCTCATTCTAGATGCTCGCAAGATTTGTTTTGGTGCCACTGGTCGCAATGGCGGGCACGTAAAGCCAGACCTTTACTTCAACGTCTCGAAATATGTATCCATGGATGGTGCGAGCGCTGCAGCGGAAGTTACAAATTTTGAAGCGGCGAATGTGTACGCAGTCAAAGAGCTTGTTGAGGCTGAGAAGTTGGACTGTGACTTACATCTTACGAGAGCGATCGATGTGTATCTGGATGCCGATCATGCCAGGCAGACGGAGGCGGCGTGGGAGATGCTAAGGAGGGATAATATTGTCGAACTAAGAGACGTAGCTTGTGTCTCTAAAGAAGATGCAGAGAGGGTGAGCACGCTTGTCTTTCATAAAGACGTATGAATCGTAAGGCTAATTGTTCTTCCGAAGGTATCGGGAGTCAAGGGCGCTCAGCTGGCTGTCAGCTTTACTGCAGCGCACTTGTGGCCACGAAAGATGGTGCATCAATTGCTAGCGAAGCTACTCGAGCAAGACCATAAGCTCAATGTTCAAGCAAATACACCAGTGACGTCTGTATCCGACACGACGGACGAGGCAGGAAGATGGATAATAGAAACATCGCGCGGCACTATCAAAGCCACAAAGGTCATCCACGCCACCAACGGCTACGCGAGCCAAGTTCTGCCCGAATACACGCGAAGCATAACTCCGATCCGCGGCGTCTGCAGCCATATCGACAGCGCATTGAAGCAACACGCACCACATCTCAACAACACTTACGCCCTTCGTTTCGACGGCCGAAATTACGACTATCTCATTCCCCGAGCAGACGGAAGCATCATCGTTGGAGGCGCAAGGCAGCGGTTCTGGCACAAGCCTGAGCGCTGGTTCGACACCGTGCGCGATGACGAGCTTGTTGATGAAGCAACGACCTACTTCGACGGGTACATGCAGCGCCACTTCCGCGGATGGGAGGATACGCAAGCGCAGACAAAGAAGGTGTGGACTGGAAGCAAGTATCGTAGTCTCCTGCCCATGCGCAACTAACGCATTGAACAGTCATGGGCTATAGTGCAGACTTCATGCCGCACATTAGTCCAGTTCCAAATAAACCAGGACAATTCATCATCGCGGGGTTCAATGGTCACGGAATGCCGCAGATACTGTTGTCGAGTAAGGGTCTGGCTGCTATGGTGCGAGATGGAGTACCTTTCGAGAAGACCGGGCTACCGCGGTTATTCAAGACGGCAAAAGGAAGGGTTGAGATGCGCGATAGCCCACTCGAAGATTCGTTCCGTCCGCTGTGGGAAGAGCATGCCAGGTCGAAGCTATGACGATTGCGTCTCCATGATCGAGACAGTCAACCCAACTTGGCTCAGGGTCTTGCGGCATCTTCTTGTGAGGAATATTAAGTCAGACTCGGAACGATTAAAGTCGAGATGCGTTGTTGCTACGTACGTTTATGGTACGGTGGTGAGCGATGACACTTGGGGATCGGGGCCAGGGCGACAAAGGGGATGACAACAGACGCTAACCCGATTGGGATACCTCGGCATTAGCCACTGCAGAGTGGGGTCGTGCTCAACAGCCACAACTCCTCATCCCCTTTTCCCTCCTAGACGCCTTTAATGATCTCTCTTATCAACATACACGCCGACTGGGTGATGACCTCGCTAATGATGAAGATGCCAACACATCCCTGCCAACATCTGGACCCGAGGGATGCAACGCCCATGTGCCTACTGGACAGCGCTGATTCGCATGGTACAACATGCTGCAGTCAGCATTCACTGTTGCATGTTGCAGACAGCCATGGTCGATAGCGTAATAGCGCGCTATGCTCGTTCTGAACAAACGTTTTGAGTATACAAATACGCGTAGGTCGCCGGCTCATTGTACATAATTGAGTGCGCAACCCTCGCTTTTAGCCTTCCATCCATCCTGTCTTCGGTATCTGCAACATGGCTTCCTTCGAACCGGAGTTTGATCAAGCCTACAATGGTGCGTACTGAACCTTCATATCCATCGTCGATGTGCGTAACTTGCTAACGCGCATCTCAGACCTTGCGTCATCGCTCGATGGCTCCACGGTGCTTAAACAGCATCCAGAGTACAGAGATGCTCTTAAAGTCTTTGCTGTTCCCGAACGCGTCATTCAATTTCGTGTGATCTGGGAGGATGACAGGAACTGCGTGCAAGTCAACCGCGGCTATCGTGTACAATTCAACTCAGCACTGGGGCCGTACAAAGGCGGACTGAGGTTTCATCCGTCCGTCAACCTCTCGGTGCTGAAGTTTCTCTCGCTCGAGCAAACCCTAAAAAATGCTTTGACAGGCTGTAAGTCTTACATCTCCAGTCAGTCAATGTCCAGATCTTTCTGACCATCGCAATAGTGAATCTTGGTGGTGCAAAGGGAGGGTCAGACTTTGACCCCAAAGGCAAATCTGATCACGAGATTCGTCGCTTTTGCGTGTCTTTCATGCGCGAACTGAGCAAGTACATTGGAGCTGATACGGACGTGCCTGCTGGTGATGTTGGCTGTACACGGCGCGAAGTGGGATGGATGTTTGGCGCATTCAAGGCGGCGACTACGAGGTGGGAAGGTTGCATCACAAACAAAGGAGATGCGTTTGGTGGAAGTCTGATGAAGCTTGAGGCAACTGGCTTTGGGCTGGTTCATGTACGTCAAGCACCGAAAAGGCCTGATTTACTCGCTAACAGTACAATCACAGTACGTCTCTTTGATGATCGAATACGCTTCCGATGGCGCTGAGTCTACGCGTGGCAAGAAGGTCGCGATTTCAGGCTCTGGAAATGTCGCACAGTATGCCGCTATCAAAGCCATTGATGCGGGTGCTGTCGTCCTTACTCTGTCCGACAGTAAGGGGACGCTCAAAGCTATCTCTGTGGAAGGCTTCACAAAAGACGACATCGCCCTCATCGCCTCTATCAAGAAGAAACGCCTTCCACTTTCCGACATCATGGCAATGGAGCAGGGTCAAAGGTTCGAGCATCTCGAAGGCGAAAGACCCTGGAAGCATGTGAAGGAAGTCGATATTGCGTTACCCTCCGCCACGCAGAACGAAATGTCCAAAGACGAAGCAGAAGCACTGATATCTGCTGGCTGTCGCTTCATCGCCGAAGGCAGCAACATGGGCTGCGCACAAGACGCTATCCAACTCTTCGAATCGCGCAGGGCAGATAATCCGAACGGACGTGTGTGGTTTGCTCCAGGTACTTTGGCAACACCACTCTAAGTCTCATCAACTCGCTGATCCAATCCATAGGTAAGGGTGCCAACATTGGCGGCTCGGCAGTGTCAGGGCTCGAAATGGTGCAAAACAGCCAGCGCATCGCTTGGCCGGCCGCACAGGTCGAGGCTGAACTGTATCGCATTGTCGAATCATGCTTTCACAGCGGTATTGAAGCCGCCAAAAACTACACGGATATGCGCGCGGAAGACTTACCCAGCCTTTTTGTGGGAAGCAATATTGCCGGGTTTGTCAAGCTGGCGGATGCGATGCATGCCCAAGGAGATTGGTGGTGAGTCAAAGTACAAGGCATTCAAACATGGGTGACTACAACAGTATTACGATATCATATCATTCATTACTAGAACTATGGGCGAAAGGCGCTTGCAATGATTGACAAATCGCGATACTAAGAAACCCAAATCATCACCAGCTCGTAACGCAACGCTCCCTGTCGAACCCACCACGCAACTGCCGATCAGGCTTGACAACTTTTCCTTGCAGAATGGTGTACCGAACGATGTTCTCGCAATCTTCAGGCCGAACTCTCGCCAACCATATACACTGCTTTGCTTCTCTCAGTGGAAGTGATGCAGCGCCATCCGTACTCTCCTTTGCTCCATGAAATGGCAACGGTGTCCGACGATACACAATGACATTTGCGGCAAACTTGTGCCCACCAAAATGACTGACGAAGTGAACACCCACACCCCCGGGTCTCTCGTCAAGCGAGTCGCGATACAAATCTCGTTGCCGGAGATGGCGTTCGAATTCTTTCTTCAGGAGTGGTGCAGATTGACCGCACCGGGCATCGCGGGTCCGGTGACTGCACAGTAAGATGAGGTAGTCGTGTGGGCATGAGCGTATCTTCAGTCCGGATTCTGGCGGCACGCTAAGCGAGTTGAGCGGAAGCAATGACGAGGTATTGCATGGGCTGCGGTTGACGAGGTGTGATATGAGATCTGGTGTCCGGGATGGTGTGACGCAATCAACGATGACGAAAGCTGGGAGAAGGAGGACAGAAGAGATTGGTTCGTCGTCGGGATTCTTGTTGACGCTGTAGTCCGGTACGGGGATGTTGGATGCGGAAAGCATGAACTTCTAGAGGCTCTTGTTAGGCATCATCGCTTTTGATGTGGAGGGGTTTATTTTACCTTCTCGACCATATGTCCATGTGTCTTGGCTATGGCTTCTCCGATGCTGCCTTCCTCACTCATGAAATTGCTGATCCAATTGGCTTTGCCAGTCGCAACGAGGAGATGTCTCTCCCAAGGCATGACAGTACCGTACAAATTCTCGGTCTCATTGATCTTGAACTTCTCCGGGTATGTGATGTCACATGATGAACAGTCCTGAATGCACTCCGGCCCGTCTTTTGCCGGGGTGGTCGGCTCGAACAGTGGTGGTGGGCCACTGGCCACTTTCGGCAAAAGACTTGTCAAAAGACTCTCAATCGGTGCGACCTTTTGCGTGACTGGGGTGATGAGGAGGGGAAGTAAAGACGGCATCGTGGATGATACTTAAGACTCTTTGAAGATACTCAAGCCGTAGGAAGAGATTGATAAGATGCTGTTTCGCTTTCTTATACGTCGTCCAGGAGTGTCATTGAGGGTGACAATCTCATAGCACGGATGCTCTGGTCAATGACATCATAAAAATGCTATTGAGTGAACATTGGCACACACATTAGCATGCAAAGTTCGTTCATCAAGATCGCCGTTACGAAAACCTCGATCCTACTGAAGATGAGCGATGTCCAGGATGTTGCACGTCAAGAATCCCCTCGACGTGACATCATACCAACTACTCAGCGCACTGATATGATGCTTTACCTTCACGGAGATCGCAGGCATCGGCTGCGATCGATGCTAGAGCTGACACTACAAGCTGTGGTGATACGAACCTCCATGCCGCGGTGTACGCATACAAATGCACAAGACCAATAACGGACCGCCTAAACGCACGCTCGGCTGACGGAATTGCAGCCGAAACCGTCGAAGTCTCCATTACGAGATACTCGGCCGTTCATGATGAGCCAAGCTATGCAGGTCGTGATACATGGGTACGTGTAGGGGTCACACCAAGCGATCAGCATGGGTCTGATACATTGAGTGAAAGTTGGAAGCTTACATGTCCTGCAGTCGATCGAACCAGAATCCTCGATGAGCTGCAGGCTAATTGCGAAGTTCGTCATGCGGGGAAACAGATTGTCTTACAGATAGGCGTCAGGGGCGTCAAAAAGACATGGCAGGACATACAGGTTTAGCATGCAATCACCGGTTTCTGTCCGTACCCGGGCGTTCATCCCCACATTCTTCGACCCAAGTTTGAGGCCAGTAGCGTCATAAACTAAAAGTGGTTCTCGTTTTGGAGTATACACAATGGAAACAGTCGGGGTTTACTCGCTGCCCAAGCTGATGTAGCTTTCAAGGTCCAATTTCACCCCACAACTAGTTCTAGATGTATCCCGACATACGTGTTTATTGATGATACGGATTTAATGGCAGAGGGCTTGATAGTGCATGATGTGGTGTGATAAGACAACTTCTTTGACGTAAACACATGTTTATTGGTATGCTACCTTTGCCGTCTACATGCAAAGAAAAGCCAAGGAAAACATGACTTCCTGGTGGGCCGAAGCAATCTTAGCGAGTGAGAGTAAACAAAGAAAGACAAGGAAACGACCCGCTCAGCCACTGAACACTTCTCCGCCTAATGCGCCTTATGATCCGTTGGAATGACACCCGCTCTTGCGTACACTTCATCGTACTTACCCCTGACGAAGTCCTCAATCCTGATGGGCCCAAATTCTGGACCTACGGCGGGGTCGTAGCACGACTTCTTAGCCTCAATCATGTAGTCAGGGTTGCCCTACGAATCGTTAGCGGCTGCCTCACTTCCTGAATCTTGGTAGTTGAACTTACGTGGTACAAGTGCGCAATAGAGTGGCGGTCAGTACCAGAGAAGTTGAGTACCCGATGTACGTTCGAAAGGTACTTGCGGTTGGTCCAGCGTTCGAGCAGATTGCCAAGGTTGACAACAAAGGCGCCTTCCGTAGGCGGCACGTCGATCCAGGACTCAGACGGCGCGTCCCAGACTTCGAGACCGGGGTTGCCGTCTTGCAGGAGGAGAGTGACAAAGCCGAAGTCTTTGTGCTCGCCGTGGCCCTTCTGGCCGATGTCGTCCATCCGGGGTGGCTTCGGGTAATGGTTCATCTTGAAGTAGGTGATGGGCCCTTCAGTGAAGTGCTTGATGAACTCATTGGTCTCTTCGACATTGCCGTCTACCGACATGGAGACAGCTCGCAGCACTTCAACACTGAGGAAGTTGAGTTGCTCAAGGTAGTCCATGCAGACATCCTGGAAACCTTGTCCCAGGCTTTCGGGCCAGTAGTTCGGCCCGTGGGCGAACTTCCCAGCCACAACTTGCGGGTGGTCCCAAGATAGCTCAGGACCAACGTAGTAGCCCTCCTTGAGATCTGGCGCCGTATCTTCTTCCTTGTACTTTTGCGAAAGAAGAGTCTGGTAGCCCCGGTTGTGATCGTTCTGGCGCTGATCTAGCTTTGCCTATCAAGCTGTTAGCACGAATAATAAGATGTCTTAGAACTGCGTTAGCAAAGCATAGCAAGAAGGCTACATACTAGTAATAAGTTAGCAAGATATCTTAAGAGCTACTTGTGGCGGCTACTTTACCCTTCTCCTCTCGTGGAAGTGCGAAGAAGTCGGCAGAAGCCTTCAAAATGGCCTTCTGAGTCTCGAGAGATACCGGGTGGTTGATGATCTGGAAGAACCCATGCTCAACACAGGCCTCATGAAGCTCGCTGAGGCAGAACTTCACACGCTTCTCGTCTCCCGACAAGAAGTCACTGAAGTCGATGGTCTTGATGAGGCCAGGATCAGGCTTGTTTGCCCATGTTTTGATGACGCCCTGAGCTGTTGGCTCAGCCGATGAGGTCAGAACTTGAGTGTTGGCCATGTTGATTGGAGATGTGAATGGAGTGTAGAAGTGGAGATTGAATGAAGTACGTCAAAGCTTGTTTCTGATACACAGATACACCTTATGTTTTCCTATGGATCATTCATGTTATATGAAAGCTCAGACATGACGGTGACGTCAATAGTAAGTCAATACCAGTACAATCTGCGCCAGCGTATTCCAAACCGGATCGTTGCAAGCCGTATGAAGCTCATGTGTCTCACTTCCACGTCATTCTGCACCAGTGAAGCAGTCTCGACGTATGCTAGAGCTAGGCAGTGCGAATTCGGCATGCATGTGTTACCGAAATAAAGGGTGGAAGCGCCTCAATCTCATGCTTCCAATAGCATGTAGGCATGATGAGGCAGTTTGGGTGATGATTGCGCGAGACGCTGATGATGCATGGTATCGACGATCCACAGTATCACCCGGTGCCATGTCAAACCAAAGGAGATGCATACGCGTCGAGTGCTGATGAGGAGTCGATAATCGTGTAACCAATCTGCTCATCATGCTCGATGCCACCGAAAGGCGCTACGTACCTTCTCCCAACCGACGTCCCCATGGGGAACGAATCCATGGATGTACGAAAGATGCATGCGGCAGCCGCACGCTAGATTACTGCGGATACGCCCGACCATGGTTCATCTTCCTGTATGCGAGATCAATTAATTTATGCTAATCCTGGCAAGCACGCCAGCATCACGAGGTGCACGTTGGCCACTGTTTGGTTGACTCGGCGGTTACACCAGATTCTACGGGGCGGCCGAGTCGCTCATGCAGCAGCTATAGTCCTTTGAGATATTTGGTGCAATGCAAGCCAGCCGTAATGCTGACATGCAAGGCCCGGATTCAAGTGCTTATGGCGGTACTAGGTCGACATTTTGGCGTTCCGTCTTCCAAGGTTTCACCACAACCGGTGGGTTCACGTTACACAAGCGTCTCTGGCGTCAAACCTCACGACAAGTGCGGAGAATCTCACCTGCATCGCTATCATCGCTAGATTAGGCCACTACTTTCAATCAGTGGGGAGGTTGATCAGTGATTCCATACTGCGCCATTGAACTCATTTAAACAGGAGTCCATCAGATGTGCTTCTCCATCCATGATCAAGAAGCTTCACCGACTTCAGTCTTCAATCATAACATAATTTTGATCTAACCATCACCCATCATTCACTTCCTCCAACCATGGGTTCAATCGACACATTGGAGTCCTCTGTCACGAGGGCCACCATGTGTAAGAAATGCACCAATGGCAACAAAGTCACTATCGACTTTCCAGATGGGAGCTTCACCTTCCACTCTCAGTGGCTCCGTGATGCTCGTTTCGACAACGGTGCAGCCCGGAATGCCGAGACAGCAATGTGCCAGCAGCCGCTCCAACTCGCCCAAGTCGAGAAGGTTCGCACTTCAAGCTATGGTCTCAAGGAAACGCTTGACATCAGCTGGAAGGATGGAGTCAATACTCAGATCCCGCTTCCTTGGCTTCGTGTCATGGCGCCTCTGGTAGCTGCTCCAGCCGACGACCTTACCGCTTCGCCAGCCCAAGCCGAAGTCAAAGGTTGGACAGTTGACAGTCTGCATATCCCAGAGGTATCCTACTCGAAACTGTTCGCTGGAGAGCTCGAGCCCAAGGATCTTGAGGAAACCATTCTTTCCATCATCGACCGAATTCTGGGCTCCTCCGCGCCCGGTATTGTGAAGATCGTGGATCTTCCCGCTCCGAACATGGAAGAAGAGCACAGCCACAAGAAAAACATCAACACCCAAGTCCTCAAACGTCTTTTTGGTGCTGTCTTCGTCCACCCAATTCGCGGTGCCGATCAGACTTTCAACGTATCGAGCCACTCCGGCGATGCCAATCGCAAGATTGGACTACCCAATTACGACACCACCCAAATTCTTCTGCCGCACACTGACCATGCCTTCTACGACAACCCCATCCAAGTCCAGGGATTCTACGGCCTCGAAGGTACCAGTGAGAACACGTGGATCTCGTCCCTTCAAGCGCTCGAGACGCTGCGCAGCGAGGACCCAGAGTCTTATCGCCACCTATGCAACGCTCCCGTAGCGTTCGGGCGTGTGTCCAAATTCTACGGCGAGCCGCTGTATCAAGCCACCACTGACACGGCTGTCACCATGCACCCAGGCTATCCAGATCGCGTGAAGCGCGTGCGCTGGCATCCGAACTTGACTGGCTACCTGTGCAGCCCGTATGCCGACTACAAAGCCCATCGGCTCGCGCATCAGAAGTTTGAGGAGATCATGAGGCGTCCAAGCCACCAACTCAAGATTGTGTTGAAGCCGGGAGACCTGTACGTCTGGGACAACTTCCGGCTCATGCATGGCCGAGAAAAGGTTCTGACCACGCCGCGTACGGGTGTTGGCCAGACGGTGCCTGAGAATGTCGTTCATGACCGATACCGGGCGTTGTGCGTCAATATGCTCAAGGGGCATATTGATGGTGATTGGCTGTGCCATATGCCCATGCAGCAGCTGCGTGAGCTCGTCAAGCTTTTCCAGGGTGGCCAGGAAGACATCGGGAATTGAGAGTGCGCATTGAAGCTCGTAGAAAGATCGCTGAGGTATGCCTCTTCGGTCTAGATTGTGGAGATGAATCAAGCCCGGGCATGCAGTTACCCTGGTTCTTTTGAATTTAGTAGACTGACCTATACATTCTTTCACTACCACAATGCAAACGGTCCTCATTTGCTCGTGATCCATGGTGGTAGTGACGCGTCTTGGTTGACTCTGATCATTATCCGTTCTGAGCGATGGCTCCGTAGCTGCCGCATGGAATACCTTGGTACTCAAGAGTACTGTCTTGTTGTTAGCATTATGCGAGATGAAATGACTGCTACCTTAGCTTTAGGCGTCCCATGCGGAAGGTTTTGCACAAAGACCACCCGCTGGTCTAGCCTAAATGTTTCTCGGGTCCAATCTAGGAGCGACCTCCGTGAGGTGGTCATGCTGTAAATCGAATTAGGCCATGCATATGCTGAAGCGTCAACCCGCCATGAGATATGCAGGTGCGGCCTAAAGCGCGAACCGAGGCTTCGATGAATGCCATTTAGAGGCTTCCAAGGCAAGCGTAAACGACGATGAATGATCCGAGGTTTCCCATATCAGACTGACTTTGAGCGCTTGACTCAATGTAAGCTTCTGGAGTTCTGTCGTAACTCTGAACGATGGAGATGTGCGCTTCTCGCGAAATATCGATCAGGCTCAACAATGGGGCTCTGACAAGCGTTGGTGGACGTACGCGTACGCGAAAGCAGACTGTTGATAGTGGTGGCTGAGACATCGCGTTGTACTACATGCGTTGTCGTAGTACCTGCTCATGCAATGGAGGTTCGGACCGGAGCTTCGTCCCAGATGACTGGTCTGATTGCTGCAACCTAGCCTGGCGCGCAGACAGTCGACGATACCCCATCTGGTACCAATGTAGTTGCATATGGCGAGAAGGGAAGTAAGACAAGGACGCGACGCTAGTGGTGGGCCTTACTGTGTTACATGAACTTCTGGCCACGAGTCTAGAGTTCCTTTGTGTCGGTCGCGTAATCCTTGGAAAGTTCTGACATGCAGCATGCGGGGCGAAGTTAGAAACAGCAACGAGCAAGCTGGCTTGGCCAGCCATTTCGCGACCATTCTTCTTCTGGTCAAATACTAGCTTGATCAGGGCAAAGGCATGCGAAACACAAACTGCTTAGCTTGCTTGACGTGCTTGCGACATCTCTGCACGGCTTCCGCTGACCCCGGGCCGCACCGCATGAAGCTTGCACAGACGCCATAGCTTGGCTTTCAGGAAGATGCGTTTCGAGAGCAATGTGCATGTTACCAATGATCACGCTTCTCCTAGCCACATGCAAGTACGATCACCGTCGCACAACTACTTTCGACCGTGAACCGCAGTCTCACCGGGATGGTTAGTTCCGAGCTGTCAGATCGCTTGACAGTGAAGCGTAGCGTACGTTCAACTGATTGAACGCCATCTTTGCATAGGCGAGGAGTATCATCAGCACCTACCGCATTGTGCTGACGATCATGTCCGTTCTATGCATCGAGAGGAGCTTCATAGTAGCCGGGGAATGTTTTCGAAAAGACTTAAAAGGGAGGTCTCTTCAACCTTCGGCGACTCAAAAGCTCGACACAGCAATACTTCATCATGAGTCCTGCCATTACCCACGTCACCGACCCTACCGCAGATGCCCATATTTTGACCTCGCGTTCTGAAGAGGTCGAGAAGGTTAGGATGCCGATCTGCACCTGTGTAGGGGAGATTTCACTGACATTTGTAGTTGCTGGGCCAAGTCCAAGATCTGATCATCCCTTTCATCCACTCAGCAGACAACCACAAGTCTCCCAATGACCTTCCGAATGGTCAATCCAACGGAGTGAACAAGAAGGGGTTGCGCAAGGCATTGGTCGAGCAGCATGACCCGAGGGAGCTGCAAAGGCTTATGGCATTGAGCTTTCCCACTGCTGGGCTTCTTGAGGAGGGCTTCTTGGAGGAAGTCGAGAAAGTCCTTCGCTACTCTGTGAACACCTGGGATGCAGGTTTCATGAGCAAGCTCTACGGCTCCACCGACGCACCAGGTCTAGCAGCTGAACTAGTGTTGGCCTCTCTCAACACCCAGGTCCACACCTTTCAGGTGTCGCCTGCACTAGCCGTCATTGAGAAGTTCACCGCACGCGCTCTCGCGAACCTGTTCGGACTGAATGGGGCTTTCGCAGGCGGCGTAACCACCTCAGGAGGATCAGGCTCCAATGCAACTGCTATGCTAGTAGCACGTCATACTCTGTTCCCCGAGACGAAG